TTTTGGGGCAGGTGTGCTTAAAAGGGGAAGCAGGGAGCATGCAGATATGCAGAGCATGAATTAAGATCAGTCCATTCCCCTCATATCAAGACATATCAAAACCCTGAACTATGCAAGCCTTATGCATGTGAATGCCTTGCTTTTCAAGTGATTCTGCCTCTCTGGACCGTGGCTTGTGTGCCTGAGCCACCATCCCGATCTCCGTTTCATCCTCACTGTGTTCTCAGGGTGAGTCAGGGCCATTGTCGGCCTTGATTTTGGAATTTGAGACCCTGACATACCCTGACCTTGTTTTGCTTAGGGTGATATCGATTCATCGTTTCCCTATGGATGAATCCCCTGGCACGGGGAGGGTTGTTTGTTTGTCTTCCTGGACAGCAAAGTGAAGCCGAGAACGTCTCAGATTCAAACATATTTCTAAATTAAAGCCATAAGGGTCCAGGACCATCCTCAGGAGGTACCTGGACCCTATGGGAAGGACATAATAAAGGGATCTCCTGGATGGGGCATCGTGAAGTCAAGCCAGGCCTTCGGCCTGCGCCCGTGCCGCGACAGGAGGGGTGAGGGGAACACCGGTGAGCGCGGGTGAGGGGAACAGAACGGCCGAGGCCGAGGTTGTAGTTTTCTGGTGGGATTTGGATGGATTTGGGCCATGCACGTCATTGCACGTCCATGGAACCGATTTCTGTTTGGCTTCATCATGTTTGTTTGACCTAATGATTGTGTCACTTCTGGAGGATGAACAACATGGAACAGCTACTCTGCCTTGATCTGGGTCTAATTGTCGGTTAAGATTCCTTGAAAGAAATATCCCAGACACGACCAGTCTGGGACTGCCAATATATGCCGATCAGTTGGGGTGGTGGGGGGGTCAATTGATCGGCATATATGGAAGGCCCATTAAATTAGTCGTGTCTGGGATATGGTGCCCCGAATGCCCTGTCCGTTCGACTTGCATGGCCTACCGTGATCGCGAAGGTCAAAGGGGGTGATCATTCGGTAGTACGCCGAGCTTTGCCTGGGCTAGTTAGTTGTTTTCATAGCTTTTTTTTGTGAGGTTGGTGTTGCTTTACGGGCAGAGGCCGGATTTTTGAGATCTCGCCCGCTTCAAGTTCTTCTTTTGAGAAGGTTCGAATCACTTTGGGACTTGCAACCCATACATGTTCCCCTGTCCTTTCTACTCTACATCCAGTGGAGATGTCAGAATAAACTGAATAAACACCCATTGCCCCCCCAACGGAAGCCAATGATACAGGAACCAGCTTTCACATCATTTCGTCCAAATCTCTTCGCAAGGAACACTCCGAGCACTGTAGACTGTAGTCCTGACACGTCCCTAGTCGCCCCCTCCCCAAAATCCTCAAAGGGCGCGCTCTTTTTTGGCGCAGGACCCGTCCCCCTCACCACGTGATGATCGGCGGCGCTTCCATTTGCTGGAAGAGACCTTGGTCCTGAAGGACGCTCGACGCAACGGGGCTTGCAAACGTGGTGCAGCCGTGTGTGCCAACGGCACCGCTGAGGGACCTGTTGCTCGCTTTTGGCAGGTTCTCTTTGTTCGGCATCTTGACCATTCAAGTGGCTCTAGAGTTTCGATTCGACCCTACTAGGCACGACCAACTTGGGACTGTCATGAGCTGCATGTCACCAAAGAAATGATTACATAATGTGACACATATGATTAATGTCCAGACATGACTAATGAGACTGCCATAGGACTGCCGATCCAGCCAGACCCCCCCTGGCACCACCACCACTCCTGGCCTGATGCGGCGGTCCGACATGGCAGTCCCATCCATAGTCGTGTCTGGGATGTATCACCTAAATTTCTTTCAAGGAAGCAACCCGAGGCGGCAGTCCGACATGGCAGTCCAATGTGGAATATGTTTGGGAGATCTATCACCTACATGTGTTTCTTCGGTACAAAGGCCTTGCGGGTCGGTCGAGTCGGGAGCTCCCAGGATCGAAGGATTGCTGAGCTCCAGTCACAGGCCCGATTGGGAGAGAGAGAGAGAGGCTGGGGTCTGGTTGGTTGGATCCGGATGGTGGGTGGGTTTTCGAGGAAAATGCTGAGGAGATACCCGAAAGATCATGAAAGTCTATCATAGATTTACCGTAGCAAAAGTTAGCACAGGACCTGCACTTTCACTGTGGATGGCGCCGTAGGTTCTTTTTTGTGGCCAAGGCGGCCCGTGCAGAGGTGAATGTTGGCAACAACCATGTGTTTGTGGCGGTGAATCTTGGAGGTTGATTCAAGGAAAACACAACAGCTGTACGCTACTGCTATAGTAGGCCAAGGCAGTCAACATGCTACCCAGATAGGCGATAGACCACATGCAACAGAAGGCACTGCACCATATTGATATCAGATCCCGAAAGCCGTACAGTGTAGCTGACATTCTCAGGGTCCACAATTAGCTCTCAAGTGACTCAAGAGTGTAGCTGCCTTAGCTAGCCAAGATCTAGATCCTTTTCCCTAGAGGTTCCCCTAGGCCAGTCTTCGGTGCCTTTGACGGATTAGGACCTTCTGCAGCAGAAACCTCGACCGATCACAGGTGGACTCGCTGCGGGAGCGGCGGACGGATCTGGCACGCAAGGTGGAGATCGAACAGGATTGCGGCGGGTTGGGGATTCCGGGGAGGGCTGAGAGGGGTTGGGGTGTTTGAAGTTTGGATTCGAGATGGGACAGATGCCGTGTGACATGATAGGTTTCGGTAACTGAATGATGATGGAAAGGAACCGTGCTCCAAGAACATGTGGGATTCTCCAAGCCATTGCATACCATTTTTGGTGCGCAGAAGGAATGAATCAAGAGTGACCATGTCGCAGCAATTTGTGAGTCCACAATCCTGTTGTGGGATCCAACAGGTTCAGTTTCAATCCATTGAAGACCGTTCCGTCACATGAAATGGTCGAATCAAGTCTCAATTGCTTCGAGTTGCGAGTTAGACGGGGCATTGAACACCAGAGAGACCTAAGAGTCAACGAAGGCAACACCATTGGCATCCATTGGCCTATTGCAGACTATAGTCACTACGTAATCAGAAGGAAACACCATGGAATGGTTGACTGCCCGGGTTTTGACCTATAGATCGTGGTGCTTTCACTCAAAAAAGACTCAACTGCCAGATACGTCAGCCTACCATGTTCCTCGGAGCGCCGCGCCACGTCTTTGGGGTGTTGGGTGGTGACCCACACCCACAAAGCTTATGCCGTATGATAGTCTCTTCAGGTCATTGAGTGAAAGAGAACCAGGTTTACATGGATTGCAAGATATTGCAAGTGTGATCGGAAACACTTCACAATGAAGGTGATGTATGGTAGAAACATGTAGAAATGCATCATAGTCACTGACACAGTAGTGATTCAATGATGCTGTGTGGACAAAACTTGTTTGAAGCAGCAAGCTCCACCAGATGCTGATGCGTTCGCACCAAGCAACTATACCAGGACCATCCAAAAGGGTGGCCAATGGACTACCCTACACATCCGTGACACAACTTACTGGACCTTCCAGAAGGTGTCATATACATAGCCTCTGAGAGGTTTAGTTCAGGGGTGTCCAAAAACCACCTGTTGGAAGTTACTGGTCTCTATTGACGCCCAAAAAAAAGCCCCAAGCTCCGAACTCCTCCCTCCGAACTCCTCACGCCATCGAACGAGGACGTGCGGGAACAGATCAATTCAGAGATCCGGGGATTTCAGGAGAAGGCGAGCGATTCCACGTGGAAGGCGATATAGTCCCTATAGGGATCCAAGTAAGTACCGAACCTCAGGTTGGGTACGACTGGACCCGACGTTTTGGCACCGACAAATAACAGTGTCGAACACATCACCGTACCTGGTACTTGGATTCCTAGGGAGTGCAAGGTGGAAGGTTTTTGGGGCAGCGGGGGGGTTAGGAGTGTTTCTTGGTACTGTATGCTGGCTGCGACTGGCTGAAAGATGTTGGGCTTCCATGGTGTATACTTGAATTCGACTGCACACTAGTGGATGCAATCGTGGACCTCATCCCGTTCCCTTCGATTCCAGTTGCCCTTGGAGAAGGATCGTCAGCAAACTTGGAACTATGCATGATAGCATTGTGGTAATGCGAAGACCGGATTAATGACCCCCCACATGGTAGGTCAACAAGGTCAAGAAGATATGAGACACCACTCATGAGGTCCAGGAATGTCAGCAACAGGAATGTCAGTGCCTTTTTGGCACGGTGCGTTTTGCAGGCGCATGCCGATCTCCGGCAAGTGCGCAGCAACATGGCTGCCTTGCACCAAAAAGAAGTGGCCCTCCTCCAGGCGCGGCCCTGGGTGGTTGACATACCTTCACCTCCCCTGGGTGGGGGTGGTGTGGTCGTTTCCCTTTTTGCTTTCCTTCTCCTGGAAGAGTTCCAACTGAAAGACCTCGCCCCTGCAACCAACCAACTCTAGGCCTCCAAAGTACTGAAGATAAGCTCTTTGGAGCCCCTTGGCACCCCAAACGCCTCAGAACATACGATTGGAGCCCTATCAAACAACCCCAACACTGTGGGAGGGCCACGGTGCCCGTGCCCCAGCCACCCAAGCCGGCTTTTCCTCCGCTTCGGCCGCAGGAACGGCTCACCGAAGCGGAAGAGCGGGCGTCGCGCTTGCAGTCCCGTCACGTGGCCGAACGGGATGTGGCCTTGGTGGGATGTGGTTGGATGATGCTGGATGTGGGGAGTGAAAAGCGGAATGGCAGAGTTGGAGGTCAAGCTGAGGATGTTGACAACATGGTTTGACCATTTAGTTGGTGATTGGATTTCCGGTGAATTTGGGTGATTTCGGTGATTCAGCCTCTCTTCCTCCTGGTGCAGTCCCATGCCACCCCACACCCCAGAAGGGTAATGATGAAGGCAAAGGGTTCTGTCCTAAACCGCCGGATGATGGATGTCAGGACGCCCTGTTTTTTCCAAGGCCTCAACCACGAGGAGCAAGCGCACCAGACGCTCCAGTTGGCACATCAGCGGCTGGCAGCAGAGCTCCAACATGAGATTACGGAGCGAGTTTGAAAGGGGGAGAGTCCCTGTTCTTTTTTTGCCGGCGCCTTGCGGGTCAGCAGACACCGAGTTGGACGTATCGTTGACGGAGTTCTGCGGGAGTCTTGCACGGTTCTGTCTTGGAAATCCATCAAGCAAGGCGAGATGCGTGTTGGTTATTGTTCAGACTCCAGGTCCAAGCCTGAGACAAATTTCCACCACCCACTCTCTCCAGTTGTTTATCCATCAGCCCATGCTACAAGCATCGTGTGGCGCCTGGCGCGCAAATGGGTATGTATTTTACGAGGGGGACCCTTGATGTTCCCGGAGGTCTTTGAGGGGTCTCCCTACTAAAACGACGCACCGATGTGTAGCCACATCGCCAGGAGAAGGTGGAGAAAGACTACCGCCTCCTCCTACAGGACTCTGAGGCTCATGCCCGCCGCGCCCAGCTGCTGGAAGAAACCTTGGCCCTGCGCGACGAGAAGGTCGCCGAGCTGCAGGCCAAGGCCTGGCAGCGGACTGGAGCAAGGGGCTGAGGAGGAGCAACTGGGAGGTTGGGGGGTTCGACGGGCCATTGACTCCATTGACATATAAGTATATTATATATATATATATTAATTTTTGTTTTTCACACATATGGCCGGGCTGCAATGCTTCCAGCATGGTTAGTGCAGAATTGAAAAGCAATCCAACATTATGCCCTTCTGGCGTGACAACCAGAAGGTCGCGGGTCGATAATGGCTTGCAGGTGGACTCCCTTCGGGAAAAGAAGAAGGACTTGGCCACTTGGAATTCTGCTGTTGGGTTTCAGGCACATTTCGATGTCCAATATATTATAAAGATTGTTATGACATGGAATGATGGAATGTACTAAACACAATTAAACACACATTCACTCCCCCAAAAAATTATACACATTTCTAAAATCACAATAACTCACACCTATCACACACCTTCAGTGAAAGTCTGAAAGCACGGCACGGTTTCTCTCCAGTCCGAGGCCCGGAAGGTGGAGCTGGAGCAGGTGAACAGCACTCAGGCAAGGGTTCCTCAGCAGTCAGCCGGGCCACCCGGGTGTGGTGGGAGAAAACCCAAAGGATTCCTGGCCCACCAGTGATTGAAAAGCCTGAGTTTGGGCCTGAAACATGAAAATGTATTTAATTAAAACAACAAAAACCCATGGTCTTACTAAGGATAGGTTTACCATTCATGTGACAGGTTTTTCAAATGTCGAATGGAAGGCTGGGGAACATGAGAGTCTTACCAGCATGAGGACTTCGTAGGCGTAAGCTTTGAAAACGACTGAGGGCACCCTATAGCTGCAACAAGCCAAGGCAATTCCTGTTGATGTGTTCATTGTTGCTTGAATCGCGAGAGAGAAACCCATCCTCTACCCAACGTTTATACGGCAATTGACTGTAAATCTCCGGATGTTTCTTCTTTCTGAATCACCTGTCACATTGTGAGAGAGGGAGAGGAGACTACTCCAAAGCATTTGACCATACACCACTCCAGGCATCCTCCCCTTGTGCATCCATGTCCGGTGCACAGCTCCTCCACGACCTCCACGACTCCTCCCCGTTCGTTGTTCCGCCAGGAAGTGCGTGATCAGATCAACGCTGAGATCCGCCGCTTCCAAGAGAAGGCGCTGTGTTCCGGGCCGCACCGGTGGCTGGAGGACCCCCCCTCTCCACAGGTGTTGCCGAGGCCGTGCGGAGGCCCGCCGCCTGAACATCCAGGGCGAAAGAAACGCTGAACCATGTACTTCAGGGTCTACGTGTTGAGGGATGGTTTGTGTAGAATCATGTACTTCGTCACTATAGTTGCCTGAAAGTTCCATAATCCTGAAAGCCCTGAATAGCCCTCGCACTGGCATAGATATAATTATTAGATCACATGAGCGCCATATTTTGACGGGTGTGGTCCCTGTTGCCTGCATCCTTCACGGGGGTTTTTTTGCAGGCGCAGTCAGACTTGGAGTCCGTGCGGAGCAACATGACGGCGCTCCATCAGAGCTTTGACAGCGCAACCGGGGACCCAACCGGTAGCACACCGTAACCCTCCAAGTCCAAGAAGCTGTTTTTGGGACCAAAGGAATAGGGAAGTTCCGTAAAACGGGTCACCCGGTCAGACTGGCAATGCAATCCAATTTAAAACAAATCATTATGGAAGTGGATGGCATGGCCCCGACTTCGGATGACCATGTTCGGAATCACAAACAGGTCGTTTTCCACTTCCATGATTTCATAGGGCGCAACAAAAACTATGTATATAAATGTGCAATATGTTGTTATGCAGCTGCACTACATACATCTACGACTATAGATTGAATGGGACACCTGCGATCTGGGTTATGGGACAAAAATTGATGCATTTAAGAATGCAGACCATGAGACACTGCAGAATTGCTGGCGGACATTGCGTTGAGACTTGCCACAAGCGCATCCCAGGAAGGAAGTGTCATTGCTCCAGGACTGATGGGACCATCGTCATGCACCAATCACACGCAATGGTGCCCGACTTGCTGCGCTGCAGCACACCTTTTGTGTGGCACATAGATTGAGTGGGGCACCTTTTTCTACAGTAACGGTGTTTGTGTGTGTGTGTGTAAGCATCTTTGAGACCCCCCCCACATCCCATGGGTTTAGAGTTATCCCTTGAAGAGGGTGTTTTGGGGAGACCTCCCTATTTCAATGCGCACCATTGCACATATGTTTGAGAAGCAATGCGTTGGTTGGTGCTGGTTGCCCGAAGACGCGGGTTAGAGGGGCTTCAGAGTGACTAGCTTGAAGGGAAGGCAAGTACTCACGAATGACCAGCAGTTTTCAACAACGTTTGTGCAGGTCACACGATGAGGGGTTCTTTTCAAGAGCAATAAGGTCAATAAGAACATCAATGCCATCATGCTTCAGGCATGATCACGGACGTGCAACGACCGCTTCGGCTCGCGACCGCTCGCAGAGCTCCTCGCAGTTCGAATGGTCACCCGGTGGAGCGGCTTGAAACATCCGCCAGGAGCGTGTGCAAAGCGCCGAGGAGCGCCTCTCTGGAGTGCAAAGCCGCCGCTCGGCGCGGAACGCCGCCGAAAAGGAGGGCGGGGAGTCAGCGCAGTTTTGGTCGCGTGAGAGTCGAGAAACCGAAGCATATCATACGGACTCTCCCTGAGTGTATAAGATGCACCATGCAGTATAACCAGTTCGTTCGTTCGTCCGTCATGTAACCGCATTTGCGTAACCGTTCGAAGGCACCGGCGAATATTCGCCGATTCGGTTCGCGTGCGCTTTGACCCCGCGGAAAAAACCCGCCGCTGGTGGCGGCAGCTTTTGGTCGGTGAACGTGACTTGGCCTCGGTGTGCTTCACTGAGGCCTGGAGAATGAAGAGCAAGCGCATCAAGCGCATCAGCTCTCCTTCAGCCGCATCCGTGCCGAGCTGCAGAACGAGATCACGGAGCGCGCGAGCGCGGAGAGTCGCTTCCTCGCCCCGAACTTGGGGTCTAGAAGTACGGCGGTTCAAAACCTGTTCGGTAGAAATGGGGGCACCCCACTATAGACAACATGAACTGGTGGAATGTTTGGTTGTCACCTTTATCACTCCTCCTTCCGAAGCAGGATCCATTTCTGCAATTCAACAGCAAAAGAGTTGCCGTTGAAAGGTTTTCCAAAGAGCGGTGTCGAACTGAACACCGGTGGAGGATCATTCGGAAAACATGGTGGGGTTCTGCCGCTGCACACGCAGAAGCCGATGTGTATGTTTGGAACGCTTTGAATTTACTTGGTTGCTTTTGCCAGTGCTGGTAGCATGCTGGAATATATGTGATATAACTACCTACGTTGCCCCCCCTGAAAATCACCCCAATGGGGGTATCATTGGAGCATCATGGAGTCTATGGAGGCCCATTGCTTGGCCTTATTTCCAGCCCCAGAGCCACACGACCGGAGCCAGCAGTCAATCAGCTGACACCTGACCTGGGCGTCTCCCATTTCGTCTCCCATTCGCCGTCCGCAGGAACTCAGTGGCAGTCTGAAGCTGAAGTGTTTCGAGATCGAACGTGCGGGCTTCACGCTGGAGGAGGTGAGTCAGAGCCGACAGAAGCTGGAAGCGGAGAATGAGCCACCTGGCAGCCGGATGAGACACCGGAATTGAAAGGAGATGAGGATCCGCCGCAAATCATTCAATCAACGGGGCCTTCTTACGCTTTTTAGCGGTTGAACTCAGAGAAGGATTCGCTAGTACACCGAATGGACCGCCAGGCCAAAAGCAGGGGGGGCCCAGATCCAAGAAGGGGCCCATCTGTCTCTAGGATTTATTCGTATCTTTCTCATTCACCTCCATGTCTTCTCTTTCATGTCGGTTCATCCCTCTCAGCCCCAGATCCAAGAAGGGGCCCAGATGCGACCAGGAATCCATCCCGCCGATCGATCACTTATATAAAGGGGATGGATTTCCAGGGGCACCACTAACCCATTGAAAATTAATGAATCCTTCATATTAATTTTCAATGGAATGGACCGCCGAATCAGCAAAAATAACTAATTGCTTATACTCTATTTTTGCTGATCTTACATTCCTGATCCTTATATGGACATGAGTTAGGATGTGCTTTGTAACCAGGTGGACGCAACAAACATACTATAGCAGCATTGCATTGCTGCCGATGGTTCCCGCTGGGAAACGGTTGGAACGGTAATGCTTGGTGGGGAATGGCTGGCGGCCGATGGGTCAATCCAACTCTCGGAGAGACTGTCCGTTCTAGGCGTGCTTTGAGCACATATAGACTCTTAGGGGCTGCCCAGCTCGTCCTTTCGGTTGAGGGATTTTGACCCGATTTCGGCTCAAACACTAAATCACTAAAGGCAAAACCAGCAAAGGACCGAGCTCCACCGCCCAGCTCTTCTTCACCGACCGAGGCAGTTGAAGAAGCAGATGGAGGTGCTGCGACAGGACGGGGATCGAGGTACGGCCATGGGGTTCCCGACCAGGGCGGGAGTACGGACCCAGCAGAAGTGGATCATGTGAAAGCGTGTTTTCTTATGTTTGGGTGGGATTGGGAGACACACCAGGTCAGTCCAAACAGGTGGGATTGGGTGTCCGGTGAAGTTTTTTTACAGCGAAAAACGGAGGGAACATGGTTTGAAGCAACAGGAAGCACTTGGTATACTTGGTCACCGACCTCCAAAGCCCACTTACTCCCCCAAAAGAGTTGACCTCTCAACGGCCTGACCCGTTGGCCTCGCCTAGAGGCCGTTTGTATGGCGCCAGGAGTTCTACACTCTCGAGGTGCAGTACAAGGAGGGCCGTGCCAACGAGCGAACCTTGGCGGCGGAGGCGTCCGCGCCAGACGCTGTGAGAGCGGACTCCTTTGAGTCGAAAGAGTGTTCCCCAAAAGCGCGTTGGTTCGGAGAGGTGGAGCGGAAAAGCGCATTGAATGATTAGTTGCAGAGATCCTGAATGACTTAGCAGAGGGGAACAGGTGGTATGTGTTTTGGGGGGGTTGATGTTTTAGCGACCGGATAGGCACATGGGGAAGCCTGGAAACGTCCGGCAATGGACACCGGATAGGCCGAGAAGGCATATAGTCAAAAGGCGCAGAGCAAAGACTGTAAAGTTGTTGAGTCACAGTCCTTAAAGTTCCTAGAGCGGGGACTAATGTTTTTTTGGTTCAAAAGAGGCCTGTGACTGTGATCTATCCATGCAGAAAGTGAGCCCATGCTAGAGAACCCTGGGAACCCTCAAGAACCACCACGAGGAAACATGCCTCCTTGCAAGAAGTTTCGATCAGTGTCCTTGCCCTACCCAGGACAAGTGGAGAACATTGGAGAATTGTGGACAACAGGATCACCTGCACGACCCTCTTTGGGAATTGATGGCACCCCAAACAAGAACAGGTGGAGTCCCGAACCGGTGAAGCCTTCGCTCCGTCAGCGGCACACTGACGTCCGAGGAGCCGAGCTCATGACCTTGCGGGAGCAAATGAAGGGATACATGAACCTGGAGAAGGCACCGAGCTATGTGGGGCGGTACAGCGGT